TCCTCACGTATTGTCTCAATCGGGCATTTTCTCTTATTATATTTTGTCTTTCTTCGCTTAAGTTCTGTGAATACACTTGTTTCTGGCTTGCATGTCTTGTGCGGCGAGCGATGTTCGCACGTCGTCCTCTAGGCATTTTGGACTATGGACAGAGTGGTGAATTTAACCTCAAATGCACGATCCACATCATGTACACCGTTATATTTACCTTACTTACTTCAAGACAAATGCCTGCTGTTGAAATTAAATAAAAATTTGCACACTACACGTGATTGATTTGATGGTTTCCAATTGGAATGTTGGGAAGCGAATAACTGATATTTAAAATTTTTTGTTTACAATTTCACAATGAACAGAATATCGGTTTGTCACATGAAATTAACTGAGCAGAGAACAATGAGTAGCTGTCAAACAATGTATCACGCACCGGCGCCATCTACTTAAAATATTGGTTTGTAGTATATGCTATGTATCAGAGATGGCGCTGTATGTAAAAAAAGATTTTCCCGCATTTCTGTTGAAATCTTTCCTGAAATATCTTTGCTATAAACCTCACGGAGCCCGAGACCTTTCCAACGAATGCAGAACCGTAGAAATTGGGTTTTGATTGGTTTGCTTCAAAAGACGAACATATCTTTTTGCATGGTTTACACAAATTGCCACAAAACTGGTCAAAATGTGTAAAAAGCAAAGGCCAACGCTTTGAAAACTTGTTTTCTTTCTTTTGGGATATATGTATGTATATTTAACCAATTAGATTGTGGTGACACACTGCTCCAACATGTGCCATTATATAAATTCCGTTGCCCTGTACGAAATGACGGTTTTGTATCTTAATTTGTGGTTTAGTTATGTAACTTTATACATAAGTTTTCGATTAACGGGACTTGGTGGGCGAGGCAATAAAACCGATTCCGCCCATATGCAATACCAACCTCGCATACCTCAATTTTTACTGAAGTTATCCTTTGCACGGACGGACAGACAGTCACCTGGATTTCAACTCTCTTTTCATTATCATTTAGTTTCAAGTGATACAAACAATCGTTAGGTAAACAAAATTATTGTACCTTGTAGCAACATGTTGCAAGAGTACAAAACGTGAATAATTAAGTCCCTTATTACAGTTTTCAACCCAACTGTATTTTGGTTTAATTTTTGAAATTCGATATTACAGTTTTCAACAGAACTGTACTGGTGTTGTCAAACAAGAACTTTTTTGGTATTTCAGTTTTCAGTGGGATTGACTTGAGAAAAAACAAATAATAAAATAATAATAATAATCACCGATGCCCAGAGCATACTTAAATTATGGAGGAACACTTCTCCAGCCTGCTGAATGGCAGTGAACGCACAACACCAGGAGAAGGCGAGCCCGGTGCCCCAATCGACGACGATGGAGCAGACGTTCCATTGCCCGACCAGGAAGAAGTTCGAATAGCAATTACCCTCCTGAAGAACAACAAAGCGGCGGGGCCGATAGATTGCCAGTCGAGCTATTCAAACACGGCGGCGAAGAACTGCTAAGGAGCATGCATCAGCTTCTTTGTAAAATATGGTCGGACGAAAGCATGCACAACGACACTCACCACCTCTTCGTCGATTTCAAAGCTGCTTTCGACATCACAAAAAGGAGCTGCCTTTATGCCGCGATGTCTGAATTTGGTATCCCTGCAAAATTTATACGGCTGTGTAAGCTGACGTTAGTTCTGCCGCACCCGCGCCGTTAGTTCTGCTTTCTCTAGACTGGACAAGGAAACAACGCAAATGGATCTGGCAGTGAACGAGGGCAAGACGAAATATCTCCTGTAATCAAACAAACAGTCGTCGCACTCGCGAGTAGGCTCTCATGTCACTTTTGAAACTCATAACTTTGAAGTCGTAGATAATTTCGTCTATCTTGGAACCAACGTGATTAGAACCAACAATGTCAGCCTGGAAATCAGACGTAGGATAACTCTTGCTAACAGGTGCTACTTCGGACTGAGTAGGCAATTGAGAAGCAAAGTCCTCTCTCGACTACATTGACATATAATACAGCGATTTAAAAGATAGCGGCTACGCTTTCTAGGTCATGTTGTGCGAATGGACGAAAACACTCCAGCTCTGAAAGTATTCGACGCAGTATCCGCCGGGGGAAGCAGAATAAGAGGAAGACCTCCAGTCCGTTGGAAGGACCAGGTGGAGAAGGACCTAACTACGCTTGGAATATTCAATTGGCGCCACGTAGGGAAAAGAAGAAACGACTGGCGCGCTGTTGTTATCTCGGCTATAATCGGGCAAGCGGTGTCTACGCCAATTAAGAAGAAGGAGAAGATTTCTCTTTATGAAATTCTCCCTGAGAAAGGAAATAAACGCAGACATCGACAAAGTTGTATTATGGTCGTATTATGTGACATATGTTGTTCCCCACTAATTGAGTAATGCTAAATGTTAATTCTATCAGTCCAGATTTTCCTTAGCCAAATATACGCGATATAGTGACTTCCATTAATTTTAACTTTCCATCTGACATTAAAGCGTGTATGTCGGTCTGTATGTTATGATTAAATTTCAAAGAAATTAAGTGATTAATCTATCGTTTAAAGTCAACCAGAAGTTGGAAAATATTTATATTAGGTACACTCTTACAGCCTTATTGACCGATTCAGCCATATGCGTGGAACCTTGTGCATATGGCTGAATCGGTCAATAAGGCTGTAAGAGGTGCCTTGATACACTTTGAACGTAAGATAGAATGCCATGATGGCACTATTTGTGTAAAGTTTTATTCACATTAAACTTCATTAATGCTTGATTTATGTACTGTACTGTGAATGGATCAGATAAAATTTAGAATTCGGTTTTATGTGAAGTAGGTTGTCATTAACCATTTGCACCAAGTTGAGTTGTAATTTTTCGAATAGTTGCTAAGATATAATGCTCCTATGAGGTAGAAATGGTTATTACCCATTTTCATAGAATATGAAGAGATGCTTAAAGGACTTATTCTCAACAAGTTTGGTTGATTTAATTTGAGCGGTTTCAAATCTGAATAGTCCAATGAATCATTTAGGCTATGTTATGGGGTTTTATGTGTTTTCGTTTAATGGCATTTTTGGCGTGGCAGAGTAGAGTATGAATTTTTACCAAAGTTACAGCTTGCGCAGACAAAGGGACGTACGGATGGTTGGACAGACAGACGGTCACCCCGATTTTAACTCTTTCCGTTATATTTACATTATATACTACTGTGCCTAAAAATTTAACTGCGTGCGTCGAAGGATTTGGAGAATTATTTTTTTTTTTTAGGTTGGTAGTGCTGTCAGTTACATTTATGTCAAATTTCATGTCAAAATATTCATTAGTGTTTGAGATACGTGTCGTTTTGTGAGCTGCTAAGAAAGAGTTTTTCGCTTTTTGCGATGTCGAAATTTGTTGAGCAAAGAATTTGCATTAAATTTCATTTACGGAATCAATTGTCTGCTGCGGATACGTTGAGGATGATGTAGAAAGCCTTTGGTGATGAAGCTATGTCCAAGCCGGCCGTGAACGTGTCGAAGACGAAGAGTATCCAGGGCGACCATCAACCTCAACCGACGAAGCTAACGTTCAACAAATCAAAGATTTGGTCTTGAAAAACTGTCGATTAATAATTAGAGACCTCTCTGATGAAGTTGGCATATCGAAAGGCTCAGCCAGTACCATTTTGAAGGATATTTTGGGCCTCAAGCGCGTCAAATCTCGACTGGTACCGAAAACATTTAATTTAAGGAGTCGCGTTGAAGTGTGTGAAACGATGCTTTCCGACTGCCAGGGTGTCATGAAACGCATTATAACTGGCGATGAGACTTGGATCTATGCTTACGACCCCGAAACAACCGATCAATCGAGTGAATATCGTGTCAAAAGAGAGCCGAGACCATAAAAATCGTGCCAAAGTCGCTAAAAATCAAGGTCATGTCGACTGTTTTCTTCGATTATGGTGGTGTTGTGCATTATGAATTCTTTCCAACCGGTCAAACAGTCAACAAGGAATATTATTTAAACATTATGCGTCGTTTGCATAACGCCATCCGCCTAAAAAGGCCGGAATTGTGGAAAGACAATTCATGGTTTTTACACCACGATAATGCACCATTCAATATTGCCCTCGTAATTCGTGATCATTTCGCCAAAAACTCAACCCATATCGCTCCGCAACCACCGTATTCTCCTGACCTGTTTTTATACGATAGAGGAGATTCAAGCCGCAGCGAACACGGAACTGAAGGCCATCCCGGAAAGCGACTACAACCAGTGTTTCGAAGATTGGAAAATCCGTTGGCATAAGTGCATTGCATCGAGAGGGGATTACTTTGAAGGGGATGAAATTGATTTGGAAGAATAAATAAAGAAAATTTCAAAATAAATACAATGTCACCTTATATTTTGGACACAGTAGTATGTATGCATACATGTACGTATGTTACGCGAATATAAACATATTGCGAAAGAATTAACCATTTATTTTTCAGCAAAAAGGTGGAAGCTTAACAGCTACGCTTGCTGTCTTATTATGGGTTTTAAATGAACATTACTTTACTTTGTTTCATATTCGAAGTAATTATGTAAAACAGTGGTCGGCATTTCGGCAAAATTTTGCAAACTAACTTCACACGTACTCTTACGCTCTATCGTTCAGTCGTTGTCGAGCCAGCAACGAATTAACATCGCGTAAGAGTTTAGCGCAAAACCAAATATGCCCTGCGCCCATGCAATGCCTTTTATGTTCCAAGTCTTTAATGGATAATATGGAATATATCCTTTAAAGACATTTTGTTAATTTTCATTATACTATTAATTATTTAAATGAAAAAGAACGAAAATGTCTTTTTAAAGAAAAAATATATTTTTTTTGCAAAAAAAATATCTCATTGGTTACGTAGAAACGAATACTTAGATTATTTAGATTAGAATTTTATTGAAGAATAATTTGTTTTATAATTTTGCTTATAAAATTTGCTTAATTTTAATTCCAGATTCTCTCTTGGCTTCTTTTGTTTCTGCTCTCCAACACAATGACAGATCCTCTCATGCCGACCACTGAATTAAAACCTAGATAACTGAAGCGCATGTGTACAGACATATGTATGTTACTCACTCAATCATTAAAACTTTAATCACTGTAATTGGGAGGATGGCTTTAGACCACGGTCTACACCTACATAAATAGCTTAAAGTCAGATAAAAATTCGGAAACCATTATACCATGTGTATTTTTGCTAAGAGAGAGAATTTTAAATGGCACAAACTTTTAAATTAAAAATATATCTTTTTTTCATTAAAATAACTTTATTTTCTTACTTAAATTTACTTACAATCTTCTTTTCAAATGGACGACTGCTTCATTTTAGTAAGTACTATATTATTAAATACTATGTCTACATTGTATATTTGGTCAGTCGGTTGGTGAATGCAAATTCTAAGGAATTCGAAAGAGCTGATTATGTGAAAATCGGCATGAGCCGGAAATACAGGTTTAGGTTGTTGACAAATAATTGTGCATGTGCAGGAAGTGCAATTTAAGTGCTAATTATGAATATATATCATTATTATATTATATTAAAGGGTTTCGCTATACCACCGCTAGATTGAGGCTCCGAAAAAAAACAACATGTACATTCTTTTTGTCGCATACATATAAAGTAAATATTGCTAACATTATAATAGCACAAACAATTAATAAGTTTATGCTCACATTTCTTATTCTGAAAATGTATTTCTTCAAGATATTTTGTCTATTCAATCTGTGCTAAAATAATGATTCGAATTTTTAATTAGGAGAATGATTGATTTTTCTTTAATTTTTGTTATAACATTAGGAAGAATAAATTAATCGTAAAATTTTAATTTAACATTTCTGAATATTTTATTGCTTGTGTTACTTTCACAATTTTCGAATTTGATTAAAAAATTTCCGTTCGATTTTCCCAATTTTACCGTAAGTGTTGAGATAAAGCAATATTTAAGTTTTAAATTCTATCCAAATTCTTCCATTAATTATATAAGATAAAGCAAATAATCCCAAAAATGTTCCACAGTGTTATTGTCATAAAAATCTCTTTTTCTAATGTGTAGAAAACAGTAATGTGAATAATTTCACGAGGTTTAGATGGTGTTTCGGTCGTTTTGTGGGGTATTTCAGAAAGTTTCCCATCATATTTTTCTAAGTTACAAATTTTACAGTTGTTAATAAATTGGGTTATACTTAATTTTAGTTTATGATTATAGATTGGTGTCTTTAATTCTTTAAAAACGGCTTGTAGGCCTCTATGGCTCTTTTTTAAGTGCTCATTTTCAATGATTTCACTTAATTTGTTTTCTTCTTCTATATCCTTTAGTAAAGTAAAACATCTTATAATTCTAAAGTCACCATTATTAAAAAATATTTCCTCATAGGTAGCCTTAAAAATTTCGTAAAATGCGCCGTCGATTAAAATTGTATTTAGTTGTGTATGTACGGTTAAAATGGTTTTTATGTAGGGTAATAGTAGTATTTCTATCTAACTGCTTAAGTTGGATTATTTTCCTTGTGTTCTTAAAAATGGACTTGTTTTTTATTCTCATGAATTCTGATGTAATTTTCTCGATAACTATTTGATTTTAAAAAAAAATATAGTGGAGAAGAAGTCTCTCAAATTGTCAAAGGATCGGATTCTAACGCATTTATATTCATTGGTTCATGTTCAACATGAGATAAAGCGTCTGCGTTTCGTCCCTCTTTTGTATTTTATTTCATAGTCGAATTTGGATAATTAAGTAGTCGCCATCTGACAAGTTTTGAACTAGGTTTATTAATGGAGAAAAGCTCTGTTTACGGTTTGTAATCAGTTTCGATTAAAAATTTTCCTCGGAATATGTATATATGGTCTAAACATTTAGTTGCCCATACGATTGCTAGAAGTTTCTTTTCTATTGTACTATCATTAATTTCATGTCCATTAAGCGACTTGAATCTGTTAGGAAAGTGAATGTTTTTGTAAAGTCCAATTGTACTTTAAGTTTGGCTTCCTTTAGCCGATTAAAAATTCTTCTTTTCTTAATTGGCGTAGACACCGCTTATGCGATTATAACCGAGTTAACAACAGCGCGCCAGTCGTTTCTTCTTTTCGCTACGTGGCGTCAATTGGATATTTCAAGCGTAGCCAGGCCCTCACCACCTGGTCCTTCCAACGGAGTGGAGGTCTTCCTCTTYCTCAGCTTCCCCCGGTGGGTACAGCGTCGAATACTTTCAGAGGTGGAGTGTTTTCGTTTATTCAGACAACATGACCTACCCAACGTTGCCGCTGTCTTTCAATTCGCTGAACTATGCAATGTCGATTAAAAATTAACTTTATAGAATTAATGTGTTCCTGTAAAAAAATTACGATATCGTCTAAATAAACCAGACAAATCAGGTTTATGTATTCTTTGAGGATATTGTTTAATAATCTTTGAAATGTCACTGGCGCGCATTCGCAAGATTCCTTCCTCGACACTGAAGGCTTTTTCATGAATGTCATTTTCTTCACTTTCAATTTGATGGAATTCTTTGCGAAATATAGGGTGGGGAAATACCATATTGGATTTGCCCAATTTATTTAATATTTCATCAATATTTGGAACCAACATTAAATTTTGTTTTAAAATTGGTAAAACTTTTACCGAAACGTTTCAATTGACGAAACAAGTTTATGGCGACGATTGCCTATCCCGTAGAAGAGTTCACGAGTGGTTTCAACGTGGGCCAATCAAAATCCGTGATCACTGTAAATTCCATCGAAACTGTGCGTGAATTCATCAAAAATCAGTCGAAATTATCATTGACATATCATAACATTTGGGCTTCGGAAAAATGCATTTTCCCATGAAAGAAAAGCGTTATGCAAACGTAGATGCCATTCAAAAGGCTTGCACCGGCTTACTGGCGGCCATACCGGCCAATGAGCTGAAAGACACCTTAGAAATGCTTTTGGACCGTGCAAAATACTATTTTGAATAAAATAAATTGATTTTACCGAAAAAAACATTTGTTCTGCTTTTTTTAAGTCCTGCTTACTTTGGAACGCATATACCATTTGTATATGATGTAGTGAAGATTGGCACGTTATCATTAGTCCTTATCTTATGTTTAGTTGCTCATCTAAAACTTAATTAAGTATTTTCTTGATAGATAATATGTATTTATAATTAGCATAAGCTTTTTTTCTTCAAGATGAAGATGATGAGTTCTAATTTTTTCTTTCAATGGTTTGTATTCTTTTTCTCCAATATTATTGAAATTTGCATTGTTCTCATGCAGTGCGGATATGCTTTCTGACTTAAAAACTAGATTTGATTTTATATTGTTAAAAGGGTCCTTGTCTGGAATTACGTTTTCTTCTATTTTGGCGGCACCTTTTCTTTTGACAAGAAGAAAGTTTCCCAAACTGAATTGTGTTATCCGCACAGTTTATGCTTGCTTTTAAAGACCTTAAAAAATTGTTTCCTATTAAACCGTCATAGAAATTATGAAAATTAGTTGTATTGAATTTGATTACATCGAGTCCTGTTCCAAATTCTGCAAAAAAATTTTGATTGTCGCTTTTTCTTTTATACTGTTCTGTAATGTTTCTATGTCGAGGAATTTTTTTTCTGAATCCATTAGGATGGCAAATGCCAGGGTTTGAAATTGAGTTATGTAGTTGTACGTGTGTTCATTTTATATGTCCTATTTTTTTTTTTTTTTTTTACTTTTATATATGGAAGTTCTCCGAGACTGAAGGCCGAACATTTTCAAAAGGTTTTTGATTGTAAGCCCTGTAATTAGTATCTGTATTCATGGAAGTATTACAAGTATTCGAATGGTTATAAGCGCCTTGATTTGTAGAATTCGGTTGTTGATTGAAATTCGAATCATTAGTTCCAGTATTTGGAAAATTAGCATCCACCAGGTAATGGAAAACTATTGTAATCTCCATTTTGGGTTGTAAAATTTTGTTGTGGATTAACATTTTGTGGGTTAAAGTTATTGGAATTCTGATTAGAATTCTGTTGATAATTTTGCCTGTCGCGATTGTGGTTAGTATTATTCTGGTTGTTATTGGAGTTTGGTTATTTATATTTATGCTTGTAATTACTAAGATTTGAAGTATTTGTGATCTAATATTTTGCTTGGATTTTTTTTTTGTGTACTTTTATTAAGATTTATATTTGCTTTGTTAATTTTTGTTTTGTGTGCAAAATTGTTAGTTGTCTTGTCCAAGGAAAGCATATCCAGCTTCAAATAAGTATGATATTCACTTCCTCTTCTATAATGTTTGGATTCCTACATGCGAATATAGTCTTCATGGGTTCGGAGATTTCAGATTTAAAAATATTTAGAGCTGTGCGGGAATTATTTTAAGCAACGGCATTTGCAGCGTCTTGTCCGAGAATGAATAAGATTTTATTGTTGAGCCGTCTAAGTTTTTCCTTTGTCGCGTCAAAAAAGCCGAAATTTGTGATTTTAAATCTAACTGCTCTTAGTGAATTGAAAGTTCATCGCAACTTAGTCGATCACCAACATTATTTTGGAGTAATTCCTTGATTTCGTTTCAAGAAATGGCTTGGTAATTTATTTCAGTGATCTCCCTTGCTTTGCCTTTTAACTTACTTTTAATTAAGTTGGAAAACAAGTTTTGTGAATGTTTATCATATGTTTATATAATTATTATGATGAAACTATTTGATTTTAATTGTATCAGTTTTTATCTTTATGCGCTCTCAAAAAACCAAACAGTTTATTGCGAAAGCAAACTTTGCAGTGATAGTGTTTTATAACGTCAAATTATACAGTGAATCATTTTGCAATATTAGGGCTATTCTCTTGCTCTTGCAAAACCCTTGCATGGTGCACGAATTGTTTCGAGCCCCGTGAGTTACGACTTTGTTGCACTGGGAACTTTTGTAGAGTGAACAAATCTGAAAAATGTGCGTCTAAAGTCAAAGTGATGCCGCAAAATACCTCAGATATGTAGGAATTTAAAGATAAAAACTCACGATTGTAGTGTATTTTGTATGGAAAATTTTTACAGGCCTTGGTCCAGTTCTTACTGTTAGTATTAAGGGCTAAAATTTTCAAGAAATTTTGCTTAGGGTATTTCGGGACTGAAAAAAATTAATAATTAAAAAAAAACACATATGTACAAATGCATATCTCCATCTAAATATTTCACCAGCGAAAACTGCAAACAATGTTCTACAAAAACAAAAATTGTCTCAAATATCATCAGCAGCGTCAGC